GAGAGATGGTTCCACAATACTGTTCTTGGTGAGGAACTGAATTCAGATTCAAACACCTACGTTGGGTGCCTCATAACTACTGGCAACTCCAGCTCCTAAGAATTTGATGCCCCTTTCTGGCCTCTGCAGGCACTGTACAAACACACTCAGATATATATATATATACACATAATTAAAAATAAAATGCAGGGAGTGCTAGAATATGCCCTTAATCCCAGCTCTTGGGTGGCAGAGGCAGAATCTCTGGGTTTGGGCCAGCCTGGTCTACAGAGCAAGTTCCAGGACAGCCAGAGCTACACAGAGAAACCCTGTCTTGAAAAGCTAAACTAAATAAATAAAGAAACCGATTAACTAAAACTGTACTTGAAAAAAGGACTCTCAGATGCAGGTCAAATACCTTAATCCAATCAAAAGTTTATTTTGGCTGAGGACTGAACTCAGAACCTTACACATATAACACAAGCATTCTACCAAACTATATCCCCAAATTTTAAAAATAAATTCATAATCATTCACTATTAGCAAAAAAATTACTTGAACATACCTCATAATCATACTTAAAAGGTAAAAATTAATAGTAACACGGTGATTACTTAGCAGAATAACCTTCAACTAGATTTCTAGAAAAGCTTTCAAGACACTTCAGCTCCTCATTACTTGATCTACACTAGAAATTTCCAGAGTTGTGATAGTTTCCTAACTAGTGGATTCTCAGAACATAGTCTTTCCAACTCAACAGTTTTTGCCATTTGCATGAAAGCAGTATATGACTATTAATTTAGATACACATTTCAGTATTTGTATAATTCTACATTATTCTACGACCTGAAGATGGAATCCTTCCATCTGAAAAGTTTCTAGAAAAGGAATTCACCAAATCTAACAGCAGGCATATGCCCAGATATCCTTCCTGCATAGCAGTCCACCATACGTGTTATCACAACCCACAAGAAGCTGAAATGGTGTAGAGTCATGAGTTCTAGAGCCCCACTGAGAGTAAGCACTCAATAAAAGCTAACTGAAATCAGCCATCGACAGAGAAGTCTACTGAAGACAAAAGGCAGGGTGGATGCGGCTGTGATTAAAGCACAAGCTTTCAATGCTCACAACCAGGAGCAAACCCCATTTCTGCCACATACCAGCTGAGTTACTCAGGAACAGCTACTTAATTTCTCTGAAATTAATTAATTAATTAATTAATTTTTCTTTCTTAATTTCTTAATTTTTCTTTGTCTTTGCAGTAACAATTCTACAAGGTAGTTATGAGAAATGAGTTCTAAACCTGTCAAACTGCAGGGCGTGATTATATACACCTGTAATCCTAAAATTCAGCATACTGAAGCAGAAAAACTGGAGTCCGAGGCCAGGCAGAGAGATTATGTCTCAAAACAACAAGCTGGATATGGTGGTGCACAGCAGAAATCACTGCAGTCAAGAGGCTGGCAGGAGGATTGCGATAAATTTGAGGATAGCCTGGTCTACATAGTATGCTCTAGGCTAGACAAGGGCCATACAGTAAGACCCTATTTCAAAAACATGAGGCCAGCCTGGTCTACAGAGCGAGTTCCAGGGCAGCCAGGGAGTACACAGTGAAACTCTGTCTAGAAAAAAAAAAAAAAAAAAAAAAAAAAAAAAAAGAAAAAAAAAAAAAACCAAAAAAAAAAAAAAAAAAAGGAAGGGAGGAAGGAAGGAAGGAAGGGAGGAAGGGAGGGAAAGAAAAGAAAAAACTTCAATAGCAAGAGCCGGACTGGGCTAATGCCCAAAGAGAAGCCAGCCACAAATAGAAAATTTTACTAATTTATACATACTTTAGGCTTACACATTTCACATACATCATCATCCTTAAACCTCTTTCAATCCTGGTACCAAATTACACTGAAAAATTGATTAATTTTTTTAACATTTATTTATTATGTATACAATGTTCTGTCTATGTGTAAGCTTGCATACCAGAAGAGGGCACCAGTTTCATTATAGATGGTTGTGAACAACCATGTAGTTGCTGGGAATTGAACTCAGGACCTCTGGAAGAGCAGTCAGTGATCTTACCCTTACTAAGCCATCTCTCCAGCCCTACACTGAACAACTCAAACAGAGACAGGATACTGCAAGTCTGGCCATTTGGACAGGTGGGAGAGTTGTACAGCAAAGATATCACCAGAATTAGGTCTTGATATTGCCAGAATTATTTTTAATAATTTATTTTTATTTATGTGCATTGGTATTTTGCCTGCATATATGTCTGTGTGAGGGTGTCAGGTCCCCTGGAACTGAAGTTACAGACAGTTGTGAGCTGCCATTTGAGTGCTGGGAGTTGAACCTGGGCTCTCAGGAGGAGCAGTCAGTGCTCTTAATGGCTGAGCCATGTCTCCAGCCCCTAGAATTATTTAAGTACATCAGTGTTGAAAGAGAGAGAGAGAAAGAAAGAAAGAGAGAGAGAGAGAGGAAGGAAGGAAGGAAGGAAGGAAGGAAGGAAGGAAGGAAAGAAAGAAAGAAAGAAAGAAAGAAAGAGAAAAAGAAAGAGAGAGAGAAAGAGAGAAAGGAGTGAGGTAGCAAACAGCAAATGAGTGAACAACTGTGTTGTTTTTTTGGGAGTTTGTTACCAGGTTCACCTTGCCTACTTGGCAAAATTATACTTTTCCTGATAAGAGCTTGAGGAACTTAATGGCAGACCAGGACTTCATGATGGCTGTGGCTCTGAGCTGCCCACTTGAGCTACCCTTGAGCATGTTCTTTGATATGTGGATGGGCCTAATGGCTGGTTTTAAGTCAGCAAGCCCAAACTTCAATTATTTTGAACACAAAATTTTCTAACAGTTTCTAACAAGCCTGGTAGGTACACTACTTATCTTCCAGGAGGCAGAGCTCCTTTAATTAAATTCTATTTTGTGTAATTTAATCTTTCCTAAGCAGGTTGATTCATAAATCCTTTATAGTATTAATTTTACTACCTCAAGTTTCTCCTGCATCATTATACATTACAATGCATACACATAATCAAGAGTTTGTTGAGTGAATAAATGATTTCCAGAATTAAGAGGTATTCTCAAAGCCAGAGACAGGTGGATCTCTGTGAGTTCTAGGCCAGCACAGTCTACATGCCAAGGCTACACCGATAAACTCTGTTTCAGGGAAAACCAAAACAAAACAAACAAAAAAAAATCAGGTATTCTCAAAATAGAGGCACACTCAAAAGAGCTGATGATAAAGAACAAAGAATAAATAACGAGAAATCCAGAGGGGCTAAAAAAGCTCAGGAGTTAAGAGTGCTTGCTGTTCTTCCAGAAAACCCAAGAAAGATTCCCAACACCCAACGGAAAGTCTGTCTGTAACTCCAGCTCCAGTGAACACATTCTTCTGACCATTGTGGACACCTGCACAGGCATCACGTATACACAGACACACATATAAACAAAATCTACTTACAGAAATAAAGAAAATAGCTAGCTAGGGAGTAGCCTGTTAGTTTATAACAGGATATCACTGTGTAATCCAGACTCTACTAGAACTTGCTAACCTCCTACTTCAGACACCCAACTGGGATTTATAGGTGGTATACATCACCACACTCTATGAAAGTAAGCATTTTAAAATTTTGTTTTCTTTTGGAGTAAGCATTTTTTAAGAGCATTTTTATGGCAGAAACTTTTAGTAAGGCCAGGCATGGTGGCATATGCCTGCAATCCCAGCACTCAGGGAGGCAGTGACAGATGGGTCTCTGTGAATTCGATTGAGGAAGCTAGCATGGTCTACAAAGCAAGTCCAGGACAGTTTTTCTCTAACCCTACAGAAAAACCCTGTCTCAAAAACAAAACAATCAAACAAAAGAGAAACTTTTAGTAGGGTAAGATTGGCCTTGGGGGGTTATCAATCATATGGTGATTTCTGTTCATTTTCTAGAGGAAAAATATTGGGTTACATTGGTTTAAGTAGGTTCCCTCACTTCCACAGATAAGGGTCCAGTGAGCACCTGACCTTTAAATTCTGTGTTAAGGTCATGGAAAAGTCTGAGAATGCAAGTCACCTCTGTGCTTTTGTTTTGCTTAGGCAGTGCTAGGGCCCAAACCCAGAGCCTTGGGGCATAATAGGCAAGCACTCTGCCAGCAAGTTAAACCCTAAACCCCCACCTCACCTTTTAAAAATAAACAAATAAATGCACAGGATGACTGGAGTACAATCCAGTAATAGAATGCTTGCCCTAGAGAGCCGGCTCAGTGGGTAAAGTGTTTGCTATGCAAGCAGGAAGACTTAAGATTCCCCAGTAACCACATAAAAACTGGGAATGGTGGCAGGCACCTGCAAGTTCGGTGCTAGGGGATGAGAGATGCAAAGATAGGAAGGTTTCAGGCTCACTGAAAAGACAGCTGAGCCAAAACTCCAAGCCCTGGGTTCAATGACACACTGGAAAGTAACTAAAGCTACCTTTGCAAGCCAAGCATAGAAGCTTCAATAGAAACCAAATCTGGCAACATGATCATCTTGGACATAAAGAACCAGCTAAGCAGTGGTAGTCCATGCCTTTCAACCCAGCACTTGGGAGGCAGAGACAGATGGATCTCTGTGAGTTGATGGCCATCCTTGTCTACAGAGTGAGTTCTAGGACAGCCAGGGCTGCACAGCATAACCCTCTCTGGGGAAGGAGGCGAAGGCTACCTGAAGTTGACCTCTGGCCTCCACATAGACACACAAACTCGGGCAAACATACCCATGCATATATAATATAGAGACACATATAGGGGAGAAAAAAAGACATGGCCTTACTATATAGCTCTGGCTATCCTGGAATTCGCTATGTAAAACAGGCTGGCCTTGAACTCAAGAGATCTCCCTCTGCCTCCCAAATTAGAGGCATGTGCCAGCACAGAAATAAAAAAGGGGTGGGGGGGAGGGGAGAAAAGTGTTCCTAGTGTTCCTAGTGAATGTCTCCAGGGGAGTTAAGAAACAGAGACAAGCAAATTAAAAAAAAAAAAAAAAAAATTCAGCCAAGTGGTGGCACATACCTTTCATCCTAGCATGGGCAGAAGCAGGTGCATCTCCATGTTTGAGGACAGCCTGGTCTACAGAGTGAGTTCCAGGACAGCCAGGGTATGCAGAGAAACCCTGTGTCAAATTCCAAAAAAAATAAAGTTAAAAAAAATAGATTTTTAAAATTCAATGTATATTAATGTTTTTGCTTGCATGTATTTATAAGTACCATGTGTGTGCCTGGTGACCTCAGAGGTCAGGAGAGGGTATCAGGTCCTCTGGAACTAGAGTTGTAGATGGTTATGAGCTTCCATGTGGGTACTGGGAATTGAACCTGGGTCCTCTGCAAGAGCATTTCTTGCTCTTAACAGTGAACCAACTCTACAGGCTCCAGTGGCAACTTTTTAACAATCATGCCAACAAATGCTTCTCAGCCTCCACCAGACATTCCTTGTTGTATACTTTGTGTCCTCTCAGATGTCCTGACAGTCTGTACTTCACAGCAGCAAGGTCTTTTCTCATTTGTTCCTTGGAGAAAGGAGCCAACCACTAGAAAACCAATACAACTACACAACAAATTCACATCCTATGTTTGTTCACACTGGGTGTCATCATAAAGAAAAAATAAACCAATGCCCGTAAGTTGCTGAAAAGCAAAAAACAAAACAAAACTCTGAGTTCGGATATAGGTCAGTTGGTAGAGTGCTTGTCTAACAGGTATAAGATACAGCTGTCCATCTCTGAATATAGAGGAAGGACATTTGCCATTTTTCATTGTACTGAGAGTCAGATGAAGGCTCTAGGTCAAATCACATTTCCATTCAGAAAAAGAAGTTCTCATTCCATCTGCAAGCAAGCACAGGTCTCCATAAAGCTAACTTGAATCTTCTGTCCTAATCTTGAATTATGTGCCTGGCATAAATTTTTTTAAAGATTTATTTATTATGTATACAATATTCTGTCTGCAGGTGAACCTGCATGCCAGAAGAGGGCACCAGATCTCATTATAGATAATTGTGAGCCACCATGTGGTTGCTGGAAATTGAATACAGAACCTCTAGAAGAGCAGCCAGCCCTCTTAACCTCTGAGCCATCTCTCCAGCCCACTTAGTGTAATTTTAGGAAATTCTTTTTCTGTGAGCATGAAACTTCCACAACAACCTGAGGTTCTTCTACAGATTTCTCCTTTCTGTGGTCTCCTTCCTGTTTTCCTCTTCCTTTTACTTGACCTGCTGTGGGTCTGGTTCTAGTTCCTCATACTTTCAATTTCTCAGTTATTTAACTTCCCTGACTCCTCAAAACACTGAGCATCAGAAGGATAATCATAAATCTTCCATCAATTGTACTTTTCTGGGTTTCCCAAGCTGACGGTCAGTTCCTAGTAAAAGTAATGCCAGGTTTTTGTCGTCTTTAGCCCAGCTTGGAGACTTAATGCACACCTATGAAATGGGCTCACATTTCTGCCCCTGTCTCCTTTTGGCGGTAGGCACATGCACTTAGCCTGTCAACTCCTTTAAAGTTTGGGTCTATACACCAGTGTGATACTGAGGTTTTTAAAATACACATGGCTTCTAGAATCCTTACAGACAATGACATAGTAATCATTCTTGGTTCTAGGTGGGTGCAGTGGCACAAGCCTTTAATCCCAGCATTTGAAAGGCAGAGGCAGGCAGACCTCCCAAATCCCTTGGAGTTTCCAAGAAAAGCATCTGTTATTCTAATGCAGTGTCTCTGCCTGTGCTCCTGGATAGTCACAGAACTTTCTAGTGAAAATAACCACTGTATTAAAGTGAACTTTTTCTTTTCCAAGACAGAGTTTCTCTGTGTAGCCTTGGCTGTCCTGGACTCACCTTGTAGACCAGGCTGCCCTCGAGCTCACATTGATCCGTCTGCCTCTGCCTCCCAGAGTGCTGGGATTTTAGGCATGTGCCACCACACCTGACTAAAGTGAATATTTTCAGTCCTAAACCCAGACCTTTTCTGAAGAGAGAACATGTAAGTTGAAATGATATGAGGCAGAGGAGGCAGATCTCTTTAAGTTCAGGCTAACCGGGAATACATATCCCAATTCTTAGAAGGCAGAGGAAGAAAAGATCCCTACAAGTTTGAGGCCAATCTAATACAAGGAGTTCCAGGACAGCCAGGTGATACTGTCTTTAAATAGGTAGGTAGGTAGGTAGGTAGGTAGGTAGGTAGGTAGGTAGATAATGGGAGCTGAAGAGATGGTGCTTAAAATTAAAACACTTGCTGCTTTTGAAGCCGACCCAGGTTCAGTTCCCAGCACCCTCGTGGTAGCTTACAGCCTTTCACACTTGTCACTTACAGCACTTGCCACACATGTTACACATACTTACATGCAGGCAAAACACTCCTAAGTTAAAAAAAAATTATTTTTTCTCAAGAATAAAAGTCAAGCTGGAGAGAAGGCTCAGTGGTTAAGAGCACTGACCGCTCTTCCAAAGAACCCAAGTTCAAGTCTCAGCACCCACATGGCAGCTCACAACTGTCTGTAACTCCAGGATCCAACACCCTCACACAGACATACTTGCAGACAAAACACCAATGTACATAAAAAGCACATAAATAAACAAAACAGGACCAGTGAGAGCGCAGTGGGTAAAGGCATTTGCCACCAAACCTGACAACCTAATCCCTATGACCCACAAGGTGTAAACAGAACCAACTCCCACATGGTGTTCTCTGACCTCTACAACCCTAACCCACCTCAATTTTAAAAACTTAAACAGAACAACCAATTAAAAATATCTCTTTTGGGGGGCAGCAAGATGGTTTATCTGGCAGAAGTACAAGAACCACCTGAGCTTGAGTCCTAGAACTCAACATGGAAGGAGAACCAAGTTCCTCAAGCTGTGCTCGGACCTCCCCAGAGAGCACAGAAACACTAATGTACACACATAATTTTGTTGTTTCATGACAGAGTTTCTCTGTATTTGTAGCTTTGGCTGTCCTGGAACTCTCTGCCTCTGCTTCCTAAATGCTGAGATTAAAGGCGTGCAACGTCACACCTGGCTGCACTAGCATCTTTAAGTAGACTATTTTGCATACCAATCCCAGTTCAGATGCCACAAAGAGGTCTAGAAACAAATGCCTGGCTATAATTTTTTTTTTTTTTTTTTAGCAAGAAAATCTATATATAGCCACGAACTAATAATAGGGGGCTAGAGAGATGGCTCAGTGGTTAAGAGCACTGGCTGCTCTTTCAGAGAACCCAGGGTTTGATTCCCAGCACCTATGTGGCAGCTCACAACTCCAGTTCCAGGGGATCAGACACTCTCCCACAGACACACATGCAGGCAAAACACCAATGTATATAAAATAATAAAAATAATTTAAATTGATAATAGTATCATTCTTCCACCTACAAAAGTAATGAGAAATTATTCAGATTACAACAAAAATCTTAAAGTCTTTATCCCATTTTTGTTACTTTTTTCTATTTTGTTTTGCTTTAGATAGGTTCTCAAGTAGCTCAGGCTGGCTTCAAGCCCACTATATAGCCAAGGATGACCTTGAACAACTCCAAATGCTGAAATCGCAGCATCATAGCACCTCCTTTTGTACGGGCCTCAAAATTCCTACTGGTTACTCCCAAGCCTCCAAAAGAAGCACACATTTAAGTAACGTTTTCCTCAACTATGGCCAGTAAGATACAAAGAAAAACATTTGAGGGTTGTGTTTTTAGTTGTTTCTCCAAGAAGTGACAAGCAGGATTACAAATTTACTCTAAACTATACAATTCCAGTTTCTAAAAGATCTGCTTTCTGGAAGGGTGATATTTCAGTTTCTGGTGCAATCCTGATGCAAAGCCAAGCTGTTCTGTAAACAGTCAGCTATTAAAAATCAAGGTACGCCCAAATATCCAAGTCTGCAAGTTTCAACACATTTTGTAAAGTAAAGGCAGTTAATGTGTGACCTCTGCAGCTCAAAGGCCCTATCCGTTCTAGAATACTCTGGTGACTCAACGGCTTCTCAACTCACTGCCCTAAGCAAAGAAAAAAGGAACTCGAGTCGAACCGGAGGAATCACCGGATTTCCTCTTCATGTCCCCATTGAATCAAGTCATCCAGTGAGCATGTCACTTTCCAAGGCTCACAGATTCTCACACCCTAATCAGTGTTTTGGTAAAGGCACTTTATTAGAAAATGATTACCAATCTTAATCAAGTGAACTTATTAATGCCCTACTGAGCTGGGAACTCTTAGCAAACAGATTATGTCTTGTGATGTTTCTAGGAAAAAAAATTCTGAAAAATCATTTTCACTCCTTAAAGAAATTAAAAGCATTGATAAATACTGTAATCAAAACAGTTCCCAGTATAAACCTTTAATCCCAGAACTGGAGTGGCAGAAACAGGAGAATCTCTGTGAATTGAGGCCTGTCTACAGCCAGTTCAAGGACAGCCAGGACTATATAATTTTAAGAGACCCTAACTCAAAGGAAAAAACAAAAAGGTTTAGGCTGGGCACTGTAAGTGCAAGCTCATAATCTTAGCAGTTAGGAGGCTGAGGCAGGAGGATCTCGAATTCAGTCAGCACAGCTACATAGCAAGATTACCTTCTCAAAAACACAAAACACTGGGTAGGTTGAGGGTTCTGTGGTAAAACACGTGCTCATCATGTTGAACATCCACTACCAAAAATATTTTAATAATAATTATATATATGTTTATAATAGCTATTACAAACATAGCACCATACCAGAAACAGAAAAGCACAAAACCAGTAATGGGTTTATTTCTTTCTGCATGACTGGACTGGTTAAGGCCTGTATGTCCATTTAAACAACATAACCATCTCTGAAAAAGCTTAGGATGTCCAGGCAGGCCACCAGATTTAAAATCATCTGTGTATTGTCGGTGGGATGTTAGTCGATTTACTTCACGAGTCTCTCAATAATCTCATTTTATAAGTAAGAAAACACGCAAAGATTTACAAAAGGATGAAGAGCAAGCGAATCGCTCCCTCAATCGAACATTAAATGCTGTCATGCCTTTCGTTTACACTCACTCTTGTTGAGTTTACAGCATCAGCAACAGAAGACAGCAAGGATGAACAGCCACAGGCCACAACAACTGATCCTTCAGAACCAATTATGACACAGAGAGCCCTTGTGCAAACACTGTGTGCAAGGCGGTCCTGGCAGTTTTTACAAGGCAATTAAGTTACCTGGAGCCCTGCGCTTTGGAGGTGACAGGTGACCTCCCAGTCCAGACCAACCGGCTACATCTATGTCTGAGTACTCCTAGTCTTGCATCCTGTACTAGAGATCAATCACGAAGTCGCCACAGGGATTCTGAGAGACCTTTCTACCGGGAGGAGTCATTAGGGGACAGGCCAAGAAGGCCACCACGCCCCGGGCTCCTACGGGACCCCAGGTCGGTTCAAGTGCTGGGCTGCACTAACTTCGACCCTGGAGTCACCTCAAGAGCATCCGGGACGCTGGGAGGGGCTGCGCCCCACCGGAACACCAGCGGACGCTCGGGTATAGAGCTCAGAGGTCTTCTGAAGCGCGCCGTCCGCGGTTTCGGGCTCACCCGATGCTCAAGGCCCGTCCGACGGTCCCTCTCTGACCCCCGTCTCCCGCCGGCCCGCTCGGCCCGCTTCCGGACGCCCCCCGCCCAGATGTCCCCGCGGGCTGGCGGTGAGGCGCGGCGCGGCGGGCCAGCGGAGCGCAGCTCTGGGGGAGGCCCCCGCCAGGCAAGGACCCGGGCGGGGAAGGCCGGGACAGCGCGGGCCACTCACCCTCAGCACCTCCGCAGGGCCGTCAATCTCCGCGTCAGCGACTCCCTCAGCGCCGCCGCAGCCGAGCGGGCGAGCGCGAGGACGGCGCGACGTGCGCACGCAGCGAGGGGCGGGGGCTGGCGGGTCACGCCCCCGAGCGAGCCGTGCTGGCGGGAGGCACGTGGTTACGCTGACCCTGCCTGCCAGCGCAGCTTCGGGACTTGACCGGAGAGGTGTGTCAACAAAAGCCAGCTGTTTGTTGGTCCAGAGTGGTGGCTCGAGCCTAGCATCCCAGCACTCGGCAGCAGGGGCTTGAGGGTCCGGGGGAGGCCCTGAGGCAGGGGAATTGCGGTGAGTTCAAGGGCAGCCTGAGCTACAGTGGGAGAGTTTGCCAAAAATCAAACAAAAGCACTACAGGGCTGGGGATGTAAGTCGTCGAGAAAGAATTACTAGATTCTTAACACCGAAAAAGAGAAAGAAAAAATTAATGAGCGTTTTACAGTGACATCGATTTCTTGCTTAATCTCCCATATCTGCTCGGAGATGGAAGATCCAAGTTGTAAATCTTGACTTGTATCCCTTGACCACTCGGCACGTTAGCCAGCCCTAGGCAGTTCAGTGCAAACGCTCACTCTGACTCCCAGTTTCTGTTCACCTCTGCTAAGAGTCCCTATCAGTCTCCTTTGTGGACCTTGGTTGTGGAGATTACACAGTGGCTCAGAGTAAATAGTGCTATTGCTGAGGAGCCAGTCCTAGTCACAGCACCCAAATTAATTGTCTAGAACTGCCAGATCTGATGCCCCCTTCTGGGCTCCACTGGCACATGCACATAATTCAAAATAAAGATAAACTTTTCCCTTTTTTTCACCTTTTTAACTTCTTGCTTATGCAGCCCACGCTGGCCTGGAGTGCAAGATCTTCGTACATCACACTCCCCTGAGATAAGACCGCTTCTGGGTAGTTATTCCTATATACTTGTATATTTAAAATACTTTCAAGGCCCCCAAAAAAACATAAATAAAAAGATCACTGCATCACATTAAAAGATACTCCTGTCATATGAAAATTATTGGAGAGTTTAGTGAGAATTTTGCTTTCTTTAAAAACATAGGAATGTTATGTGAGTATGTTTTTGTTTTAATCTCAGGTGTGGGCTATGGGGCTGCTTCAGATTTTCTACAGGAGCCCACTATGGGTTGCCTCATGCTCTAGCAAGTACATGATTTTTTTTCCAGATGAGGATAGTTTGTGTTTGGAATTCTGGGGACGCTTCAGAGAGTGTCTGAAGAGCCCCGAGAGGCATGGTGGCTGCTGCTCCCCCTGCTGCTGTTGTTGTTTGCTGGATTACTGGGTGAAGATATCCTGATGACAAAGATCAAATCTGGTTCAAGGAACTCGATGGCCCTAATAAGCAGGAAGTAGTTAACAATATCAACGTCCCTTTCCCTCCTACCTAGTGTTACAGGGTTGGAAGGGATGGGTGTAGTGAGGTAGTAAAAAGAACCCAGTAAAGTAGCCAAATGTCCGGCTACAGGGGAATGTTGGCATGAGTTCCTTTAGTAGGTCTGACCAGATCAGGCTAAAAACCAAAATGATCACTCAGGCTTCACATTTCCAAGTTGAAACTAAATTATTTATCTTAACATTCAGAAAAATAATTTGCAGGAATAGCCAAATTTCCCAAACACACAGTAACCGGTCCTGAAGGTCTGTCACTGGAGGTCCTGAATGGGGGAGTGGGTATGAAAAAGGAGACAAGGGCACAAGAAATGAAGACCAGGACAGTATCTCTGATCAAAGTCTCCGTTTATTTGAGTTTTCCATACAACTATATAGGCAGAAGCGGAAGGAATGTAATTGCCTTTGGCAGGGTTACTAAGTGACTAGAAATCACAGAATGGCCTGAAGAGCTTCAGATAGCCTGAATATAACTCCATTTTGAAATAAAGATCTTGACTGGGAACTGAATTCAGGTACCAGGAAATATCACAGAGTGTACACCTGGCAGAAAACAAAGTTAACTCTCCTAGCAACAGCCTCCAGGAAATATAACAGAATAAATGCTTCATAGAAAATAGAGACAAACTCCCTGGCAATAATCAATGGGAATCGGTTGAGAATCGGGTGGGAAAATTCTCCCCAATGTTTCAGATTTGGTTTAGAAAAATAGCTATTGTGATTATATGCCTTAGCCATTGTGATTGTGTGCCTCAGAAAAGGTCACCCTGCCCTGCTAAACTTCACCCAATTCTGTAACGCCAAGGCTTGTGCCCCCCTGCTTGCTGCCATGGAAACCCCCAGCTCACAGACTTTCCCTTTAAAAATCCTGTTCACTCAGAGCTCGGGGTCCCACTTCTCTACTGCTGCGCCAGTGAGACTTGGGTCCTGAGTTCGATCGCTCTCGTAATAAAGCTCTCTTGCAATTGCATCGAGTCGTCTCCTGGTGGTCTCTGAGGGTCCCGTGACCCTGGCATAACAGGCCCACCAAGATGTGCTAATAATGGTAATTTGAAAAGTTCCTCAGAAGAGTTACTTAGGAAGCCCTGAGGGAGAGGAGGATTTAAGGTATTTCAGGAAGATGATCTTATGGAAAGCCCCAGGTCAGCCAAGAATGCACTATTGTATCCGGGCAGTAGTCCGGTCAAGCCAAATTTTAGGGGGCAGCAAGGTGCCAGAAGGCCCCCGACAACACAGGTTTCAATTAACAAGATATAAATGTTTTCTTGGCCTTAATCCTTACACAAGATAGAACTTAGAAGAAATTGATGTTAACCAGTTCTTTTTTATTTTTTAATATTTATTTATTTTTATTTATCTTTTTTTTTTTTTGAGACAGAGTTTCTCTGTGTAGCTATGGGTGTCCTGGACTCACTCTGTAGACCAGGCTGGCCTTGAACTTACAGAGATCTGCCTGCCCCTTCCTCCCTGAGTGCTGGGGTGAAAAGCCATGTGTCACCATGCCCGGCTTTTTTTTTTCTAGTGTAGCTATTTATTGTTTTTTTTTAGCCTGTCCCCCTTTTAAGAAAAGTTGCTTTGAAATGAATCCATAATGAACTGTATACATTTATTTATTTATTTATCTATTTTTTTTTTCAGACAGGGTTTCTCTATATAACCCAGGCAGTCCTGGAACTCATGTATATAGACCAGGATGGCTTCAAACATCACAGGGATCTTCCTGCCTCTACCTCCTGAATGCTGGAATTCAATGCATGTGTCACCTCACCCCAGGCTGTTGTTTGTTGTTGTTATTGTTGTTGTTTTTTTAAGATTTATTTTCTGTGTACGAGTGTTTTTCCTCAATGTTTAAATGTGCACTATAAAATTATGGCGTTTCTATGCCTGCCCTAGCTCCCAAATAATGACACTATTATATTTATTAATAAACTACAAGCATGATAGCTGAGCAGATAATACTCATCTATTCTAACTCAATTATGCTGGCCTGGCCTACTTCCCAGCCAGTCCTCATGCTAACTCCCTCATGGAAGTTCACTATCTCCCTCCTCCCTGTTCACTGTCTGCTCTCCACCTGGGACCACCTGGGACCCCCTCACTGGGATCAGAAGTCCCA